GTGCTTTAAATTAGAACGAGCTTATAAACTACAGCTTTATTTGGAAACACAAGTTCAACGAATTGAAAGTTAATCTTTTAGCTTGCCTATTTTTGTTTCAAAGCTATTCTTTTTGTAGAGACATCTGTTATGCATATTTTTTTAACTTACTATATGTAAAGCGCCTTTTTTGGGTGCAATTTTACAAAGAAGCTATGCAAATGTTTCTCTACAAGTTCGCTAATCACGTTAAGGAAAAGCTGAACAATATTATTGTTCATATATCCTATAATTCTAATTTTTAAGGTAAATTTTTTTTTTTTTTTTGCCGATAATGGTGTGTCTTTTTATGACGAAAGAAACTATTTAAAAGTTAGACCGATTCGAATAGCAAAGAAAGGCAAAGACAAAAGTTTTTTATTTAATTTATTGAAATTTGGCTGACCATACAACGCTGTTTCGAGTATTGCCAAGTACTCTTCATCAGTGGTCTTTGGAAATAATCGAATTTTTATTTAATTAGTTTATAGTCCGTATATAATTTGTTTGGACTGCAAGTGCCAGGCTTAGAACTCGTGCCTGTCAAATTAGAAGCGATGACTAATCGTCTTTATCCACAAGAAGCCAAGGCTGCACAAACATTCAATGCTCAAGTTCCAGGTTTTATTGACACTTATTTTTATTTAATTAGTGACACCAACCAAAGCACTTGCCGTGCTTTAAATTAGAACGAGCTTATAAACTACAGCTTTATTTGGAAACACAAGTTCAACAATTTGAAAGTTAATCTTTGAGCTTGCCTATTTTTGTTTCAAAGCTATTCTTTTTGTAGAGACATCTGATATGCATATTTTTTTAACTTACTATATGTAAAGCGCCTTTTTTGGGTGCAATTTTACAAAGAAGCTATGCAAATGTTTCTCTACAAGTTCGCTAATCGCGTTAAGGAAAAGCTGAACAATATTATTGTTCATATTTCCTATAATTCTAATTTTTAAGGTAAATTTTTTTTCTTTTTTTTGCCGATAATGGCGTGTCTTTTTATGACGAAAGAAACTATTTAAAAGTTAGACCGATTCGAATAGCAAAGAAAGGCAAAACAAAAATTTTTTATTTAATTTATTGAAATTTGGCTGACCATACAACGCTGTTTCGAGTATTGCCAAGTACTCTTCTCAGTGTCTGGAAATAATCGAATTTTATTTAATTAGTTTATAGTCCGTATATAATTTGTTGGACTGCAAGTAATTTAATATATGTTCTTGCCTTTTCTTTGCTATTCAAATCCTTCTAACTTACAAAAAATAAGCTTCTTTGTCGTCATAAGAAGCGTTACTTTAGGCAAAAATAATTAACTTTAATACTTTTTATTTCTATAATTTATTCCGCACATCTTAAGATTACTTAAAAAAACAAAGATGAAAACTGTAACCCAATTATATCGCATTAATATTTGTTATATATTAAGAAGTAGCTTATAAAATATCTAGTCACGGAAGTTTACAAAATACAAGACAGAATTCAGAGAGACTTCTGCCATAAAATTAGCAATAGAACCAACGAACACTCTATTAACATTGCTATTATATTCACCTCTACTCTGTGATAAGTGGTTCAAATAAGCCGCATATCAGTTTTAATAGATCAAGATGATTATCAATCTTTTGCAGATTATGCTAATCTTCTCACATGCAATAAGCATCAACTTTAGAACTTTAGAACAGAACTTTTTAATGGGAGACGACAGAGTGTTTAAGTACTCAAGTACTTAAAGGATATGACGATTATTGCAGAGAATGCATGCAGGGTTATTTGCTTCCGGCAAAGATTTTCAGTCAAATCTTCTATCAGGAAAGTCCAAGCTAAAGGTATGTAAATAGCTGTTAAACCAGTAGATAAATTTGAGCATAAAACATGGTCAATATCGGATTCGTAAGCGGGATCCTTTGCAATTTTTAAACGATGCAAGAATTTTAATTTATTTAAGAATAATTTGATACCAAAACGAGACATTAAGAAAACTTAGATTATGGAACTAAACTTATTTTGAGCGAAGGTGAAGTTTATTAAAACTCTAGATGGAAGACGCTAAATTTTTAAATTAAAATAAAGGAAACTGAGATTTAAAGATGGATTGATCGCGTTTAACAATGGATGACAACCAATGCGCAGTAAATGATTCTAAGCCAAATTTAACTAGCGCTATTAAAAGTCACCTATGTAAAGAGATAATAGAATGTACTAAAGAGGACAAAATTACCCTTATACAGAGAAATGAGAGAGGTTAGCAAGAAACTAAAAATAATAATATGAATTGGCATAAAAATCTAAATCCTAATTGGGCTGGTATAGCTAAAAGATGCTAATGATTACGTTATACATACCAAAATATTTGTTGTTCATATTTCAACAATTCTTACAGGAAATATTATTGCATGCGGACTCAGAAACTCAGAAATCAAGACCGACTTTAGAAATAATGAAAATTTATCCAGTCCTCCATAAAGCAATGGTCTGTAATACAAAGCTACTAAAAACTGCTCAACATACTTCAGGAATTAAACAAGCGAACTACTATTTAACAGATTTGTATAACTGAAAATTAAGTTCTTAAGTGTCGAGACGATATCTTTCGTTCCTTTTCTAAAACTATTAATATTTTGTATAAAAACTGTTATCAAATAATAACAGTAGATACCAGTAAGTTGGATTCAATTTTTTATTTGAAATATTAATGTTTGATATTTAAATAGTTCTGAATTTTACAAATTTATAACATAAATTGAAAATCCAAATATAATCCAAATATATTATTACATATTTTCTTTCGAATTTAATGGTATATTTTTATCTTTCCTGCCCTCTTTTAATATTTGCTTATATGTTCTACATAAAGAAAATAAACATTTCCGGTTAATTACACAAAGTCCCTATACCGAACGTGCCAATTTTAAAATTTCTTTTTGTTACAACTTTGTAACTCTCTGTTAAGATTGCATGTATCTGACACTTTTTCCTTAAAAGATTTGAATTGATTTTATCGAGCATATAATTAAATTGGTTCACCAGATATGTATACGTCATCATCGATACCAACAAGTGGTTACCTTTATACTATAAAATTAATCAAATGTGATTTAACTTGAAGTTGTGAAGTGACGTTGTGATATGACGTTGTGATATGAGAAATGAAGTATTAGACTAGTTCAAGTCAATTGTGACGTCATAAGTAATATTTTATATATGTTTATATCTGTCATATGAAATAAAATAATTTAAATTTGTTAACTGACAACCATTTTGTCATAAATAAATTATGTGACATAAGTTACTTATGGAGATAATGTTATTTGTTTATTATGTTTTTAATAAGAATTTTGTATCATAATTAATATAACTCTAATTATTTATTGAAGCATTTATAATTTAGATAAAGCCAAATAAATATAATTGTCGAATACAAATTGAATATATATACAAAATAATACTTTTAGCTTTTTCACTACCGTATCTATCGAAATGAAACATTAAATAAAAGTTTATTCAAAATCTTTTAGATACTTAACTAAATTATAATTTTTAATAAATAATTTTGAAATATTTTTTACTTCATTGATTGATTTTCGAGAATTTCTTGACATATTACTGCTGAGGATATTTCTAAAATGCAACATGAAACGAATATCTGGAAATAGAAACAGAAAAAAAACTCAGTATCTCAAAAATGGTTCACTCAAATAGCTTAAGGTATAAATCAGATATAAATTCATTTAATATCCTTTAATTTGATGCCTTGCCCTTGTTATGGTTCGCTTAAAAATTACCATTTTAATCTCAACATTTCCTTAGGCCCATGATGTTATGTAGAGTGTCATAAACTCGTCATAAGCAAAATTGTTGTTGTTTTCAATGCAAATTATAAAAATGAGAGTGAGAGAACAAACAATAGGCGATTCAAATTTAGCTATCGAGACTATCTGCACCTCGTCACTTAAGCATAACAGTATTATTCAGTAATAAATATCAACATTGGTGTCTTTTAGAAGAAAATTATCACATTTTCTGTGGCACTCTGCATAACATGCATTTTCGTCAAACTCTAAAAGAAGCAATTTTGACGAACCCATGACACTCACTCTATCAAAGTTGTAATATATCCTACAAAAATTAAAAAAATTAGAAAACATTAAAAAAGTAATCATTATAACCTTTTTTCTTTAAGAGTCTTGTGCCATCATAGAACACTCAAGAGTATATTATGATTAATAGTTGAGTCTGGTTGTTAAACCGCTAGAAAATATAGTGCAAAGTAACACAATACGGTGCTACCAACTTTAAAAAATATAGTACCGATAACTTCAAAGTAGCTTTTAATTATATGTTTTCCAAATACTTTTTAGATAGAATATAAACTGTAGTATTATCGCCAATTCAATCTCACTAACTGTAAAGTCAAAATATAGTCTGTGGTACTATCTATAGTGTCTTAAGAAGATAATGTTAACCAAATGTATACCATCTAGTTGGTATATGTAATCCGTTTTTCATATCAGTAATTTTTTTGGCTTTACAAGATTTTTATTTTATTTTATTTTTTTTTTTTCTCTATTAGTTTGTTATAGTATTCTAGCTGATAAACTATTCTGCTGTCCTGTATGAATGTTGCTAACTGACATATGATTTGCAGTAGCAATCAAATAAAATCTCTTAAATGGCAATCAGCATGATTTTTAAATATGCCATGATTTTTAAATGTCACATGATTTTTAAATATCACATGATAGTTAACACCTTGTTTAATAACAAATTTAGAACTTTGATCCAGAGTCCAAACAAATCACAGATTCTAAAGTCTATTTCTTCATATATGAAAGTGAATATAAAATCATTTTTGTCTTTCTGTTTTTAAAAATAATGTATTTATAGAATCAAAGATATAAGTTAATATTTATTTTATAGCGAATCAATATCAACATTTTTTAAAAAATCAAACTTTAGCCAGAAGCTTTACTGAAGGTATAATGAATATAAAATTTACATAGTTACGACCAATTAATTATTTATAAATATTTCTAATTATAAATTAAAATAATACAAACAATACTAATTTTAATAAAACCAATGGTAATATATATATTTAAAATTGATTAATGAATAAATTTATGCATTTGCAATATAAATAACCACATACAAAAAAACATTCCCAAAGAGTTTAATACTTAAAATAATAACAATTAAATGATCAATTTCAAATAAATAAAAAAAAATTTATTTACATTCTTTTACACAAATTTGTTAAATAATGACAACATTAACAAAAGTTAGAAAAAACATAGTTAATATATTTGTTTTGAAAGATTTATTATCGACTTCCATTAGTACAACATGAAATAATTACATCGTTCTTTTTTTATTATTATTTCTGTTGATTATTATTTACAGAAATTATAAACTGAACTTAATTAATTTCAGTTTTTTTCAAACTTAAACAATATTCCTTAGTTTCTTTCCTTAAAACTTTACCATTAGCATTTTTTGGTATTTCGTCCACAAGGAAAACGCCATAGTTCAGGTGCTTGCTATTATCTTCATGCTGTTCCTTAACGTACTTAACAATCTCTTCCTTTGTTAACTTAGCACCAGGTTTCTTCACAACTGCTGCTGCCGCTAAATCATTAAAATTATCGTCATAAACACCAAAAACACACGCATCCAATACATCTGATAACTCTAAGATAGTTTCTTCGATTTCATGTGGAGAATATTGTCTGCCATTGTATTTTAAAATATCTTTGCTACGATCAAGCAAATATAAATAGTTTTCTTCATCTATGTAACCCAAGTCTCCAGTTCGTACCCAACCATCAAGTTCTAATACAGCTTCAGTCGCTTTCACATCTCCATAGTAACCACTCCATTTGCTTGACGTACGCACATAAATTTCACCAACTTGATTGTGTGCTAACTTTTCACCAGTTTGTTGATCAATAATCTTAATTTCTATTTCGGGTAGGATTCTACCAACCGAATTATTTTTATAATTCTTAATGTTAGCGGCTATGCCACCACATTCGGTAGTGCCGTAGCCATTTAAAAGTACAGCCATGGTAAGCTGAGAACGCACACGTTCTAGCGTAGATATGGGACAGTGTCCTCCTGACATAAAAATAAAACGAATATTTTTCAAAGTTTCCTTATTAAAATTAGGTAAATTCGAAATTTCAGTAGTTGAAAAAGCGCTAATACCCAAAAAAGAAACTTTATACTTAATGACGATTTCCATCAAATATTCTGGAGAATATGGTTTCGATGTAACTATGCGTACACCACCAAGTAGCGTATTAATCGCGAGGCTTAGAAGCCCTGTTGTCCAGTCTGGTGTAGAGAAGGAGAACATTATTGAAGCACGATCAGTAAAGCTATATTGAAAGTAATATATTAAATACTGTTTTTAAGTACTAAATAGTAAGTTTACCCCAAATTCTTAGTCATTAAATGGTTTGATATACAAACAGCTTTTGGAAAACCAGTAGTACCAGATGAGCAAAACAGTCCCATTGTCTGGTTTGGTCCATATTTTAATGTAGCTGGTCTAAATAAAATATGTTTAATATGTTATAATTAAGAATTTATTAATTGAAACAATTAAGTTTCGTACCGAAAGAAATGTTCCGTTATTGTAGGTTCGAGTAAATCTTCCACTTTTGGTACATCAGTTAAATGATTACAGAGTGTAAATATTTTTGCATTTAATGCAGACTTACAGTTTTTAATTTTTTCGTACCGTAAACCATCACAAAAAATTACTTTTGGCTTAGTAATATTAAAAAGATGTTCGATAACATCTATAAAAAATGTTGAAAGAAATTACACATATTGTACTGATTTTAAGACTAAACTACTTACTTTCTTCATGTAGTGGATAGATTGCTTGAAATGGTGTACAATTTAACCAACAAGCGACTGCAACAGGCATTAGTAGAGTAGTATTAGGTGCAACTATTCCCACAATATCATCCTGAGTCAGTTCCAATTTCCTAAAATGCTGTGCTATACGTATAGCATAAGTAATGGCAGTTCCATAGGTCAACGTTGTGTCTTCAGAATCTGATATTTGGCATATTTCAGTAGGTGATTTACTACGCATCATATAAAATGCAATCTCTCCAATAGATTTATTTGAATCAAAAATTCTTCCTGAACCTGAACCCGACCATATTTTTTCCAATTTATCATATACTGTAACCAATTCCATCTTTATTGAAGGTTTGTATTTAAAATGCTTAATTTTTGTTAGATAAAATTTTTGTTGTGCAGTGTGTGCGTTCAATTGAATATGAACCAAAATTTCAACAAAATGGCTTTATATTGTCTCAAGACAATTCATATCACCAAAGAAAAACTTCTTATCAATTCAATAAAAAATCAATATCGTTTGAAAGAGAATAAGTATTGCCTATTGGCATCAGACTCTTTTTAAGTACTAATAAAAAGAGAGAAAATAGAAACCTTTTAACGAGATAAGCATATATGTGATATAAAATTTAGAATAAACAAAAATAAATATCTGACATTTTAGACCGGAAAATAAACTCTCTTATCAACTGCTGTTTAAGAGTTCAAAAATATCTTGAGTACGGAAAATAACTTTATCTTATGTTTATAGTATGGTAAATGACTCTGCGAAAATTTAGATACAAATAAACAAACAATTGAAATCGTAAACATTTTAGATGACTGACTTGGACTCCGAACCTTAACTGTAGTCAACAAAACAAACTAGAAAAATTGTATTTTGTTATTGCATCACCCAAAACACCTTTGCAATTCTTATATATAATTTTTTTCTTAGTATAGGGTATAGGGCGTAGTATAGCCAGGGTGTGAGACCACCTTTTGGGAATGATATGTTGAAAGAATCACATCAGTTTGACCGTACAGTTCCATTACACGGTAAATCGAATTTCACTCGTTTTGATGAAGCGAAAAACGTTTGGAGGAGATAAGGAGCTGTTATAGAAGCTAATTAGACTCTAAGTCTAATCTTTTGAGTGCGGATATAAATACCATTTCATTGTTCCTCCAGGAAAATGGACACAGCCTGACTTAGTCGAGTCGAAAGGGATTTTGACAAAGTAGTTTGACCAGTGATGACATCAGTTAGTATTGTGCTGTACTTACGATAAACGGTCTCAAGAAGATTTGTTGCCTTTTCACTGATTTCAGTTAGGAACACTTTGGTGTGACTGCAGTCTAGTGATTTCGGTATTTATTGTTTGTTAAGATCCAACCATCAGTGGCTAATCTCACAACAGATTTAAGTTTATCATTAAACCGCTATTTCGTTTTCTGATGTGTCGAAATAGCCAGCCATCCATATAAGGGTAAGTCAATGTGTCTGACTTCACAGTTGAGCCTACATTTGCATTCATGACTTATATATATCACTATAATACCTTTTTTTGTAGTGTCTATAAGTATTTATATATTTGATCATATTAGGATGATACTAAGTTATTGTTTGTGACCTGGAATATTTTCTAGAATCGAATTTTTATTTGCAATATATCTTTTTCATTTGGATCAACAAGCTAGTTAAAATATATTTTATAAAAGGATGTCGTTTAGATTGAATAGATAGGGTATACTTCAAAAAAATGGGCAAGTTTGACCATTTACGTTCTCATATTTTAATATTTTGATTTAAGCGTATAAATTATTAAAAATAGAGATATGTCAGTAAAGATATGAGCCAAGCGTTTGGTTAGGTAGAGGTAATTAAATTTGACAATCATTTTGCAATATTCCGACTGTATGTAATACATTTTAACCAATATTCAAAACATTTGCATTTTGACCTTACACTAATTTTAACACAGTATTACTCTCCTATCAATTCTTATAAATTTAAGATGAATATCTCTTAATTAGAAACTGTGAGTAAAATCTCCTTCAGGGGTCTTGTTAATATATATAGTAATCAACTTTAGTGTATATTTTGGATCTAGCCACAAAAAGCAGCATATAGGATTACAGACCAACAGATCAAGCATTAATTAGATCTATTATCATATATTACATATCACTGACTGACCAACTTTCTACATATTGATCACAAATATGGCGTAAAAAATGTCTATGAGAAAAGGAAATTCATTTTTAAAAAGTTATGTCACTCACTATATAATATATGCATTTCAAACCTATGGAGGTAGAAGACAAGTGAAGACAGGCGAAAGTGATATTGAAAGAACGAAGTTTTCCACAATCTACAACATGACTGAAAGACAAAAGTTTAATTCACTATTTATCATTTTATCTGAAAGACCAAACTACGGCCTGAATAGCAGACGAAAAATCTATTTATAGTTAAACTTGCATATCCATATATTATATCATTATAGTCCAAGTTTTTTACATGCTGCGGAGCCGAAAGAAATATTAAATTCTAGTTTCATCAGCTAATTTTAAGCAAAGTTCGAAGTCCATGTTTTATGCACGACTTCAGTAACTCAGTTCAATTTCAAAATATCTCACAAATTCATTCATTACTAGATGGGAGGATAAAGCTATTTCTCTATAATGTAACTCACGAAACCTATAAGAAATAACATCGACAAAGCTTTAAGATATTTTGAAATTCTTAAATAATCGTTATAAAGAGAATATGTTTGACAGTTAAACACTCTTTAATTATTTCAATTTCGGAATAATTTCCCAACAAATTAAACACTTTTATTTTATCTCAAGTCTAAGAGAGTGATTACTCTTTAATACATTTTGAAAAGTAAACCATATGCATTGAACTGATAAGGGTTTTGAGTTTTATATTATTTTGAGTTTTGAGACAATAAAAATTAAATTAAATAAGAAACAGTTCATAAAGTAATTTAAGAGGATGCAGTACATATTTTTTCCAATATTCATAAAATACGGAAGTTATAATGGAATTTATTGCAGTAAAGATTGACCGGAAAAACATTTGGATTGACCCAAAACCAAGAAGACTTCTTATGTGATATACATGTCGAATCTATGTACTTTTTCTTTAAAAATACTGTTTCTTTGAATAAAAGACCATAAACGATTTTTATTTTGTTATTAATGTTTGAAATATATATATTTTAAATAAAAAAGTGCCTCAAATAAATGAATTTATATCCATAATACCAACATAGAATCGAAGAAGACAACAGTAAAAGTATATAACATTAAAATAAAAACTTGAAATAAAAAATAAAAGTTTTCGTAAAATTTAAGAACTCGGAAATAAAATACTTTTAAATAGCTATTATTATTATTATTGAATAATAGGCTATGAAAGCACCGCGACTTAAAATATCTATTGTGCGCCTAAAAGCAATTTTAGACTATTTATAAATCTTGTGATTGCTGTGGGCTTAATTTTACCTATTTGATTTAGGACTAAGATCCGGCTTTCAAGGTAGTCGAGTTTATGTCTTTTAAATACCTAAGTAAATATCTAGCAAATTTCAACAGAGTTTAACACATGGCAAGACTACAATCAATGTAGTAACAGCTCCAACCCGAAAGACTTGAATTTGAATCAAATTTTTTGGTAGTTTAAGTCTGTGGTTGCGAAGCGTTGCTGACAACATACCTTTCAAACAATATAATAAGATCTGTTATAAACCAATGAGTCCAGACTATAAAAAAATGGATATTGCCTAACCTAATATCAAATAATTAACTATAAAAATCACATTGTTATGTAGGAACCGCAATTAACTTGATGTATGAAAACTAAAATACCCAAAGAAGCATATTGATATGGAGGCAACTATAAGAAAAGGAATTTAATTAATGTAGAAAATCCAGAACAGCAGCAAGCAACGGAACATGATAGAAATATTTTGTCAGGTCTTATGTTCCAAAGGACATTAAAGGATAATTATTATCATCATTATCAATAAAAAACAAATCAACTTTAATTGAAAAATAATTTGCTCTCTACAGTCTATTTAATTTTTAATTATAAATATTAGAAACTCTCAAAATGATTGCATTGAAATAAAATAATTATTTAAAAAACATTACATTTTGTTTATTATATATTATATAATAAGATCTTTGAATTTTTATACAATCGATTTTTATTTATTTAGAACTTAAGCAATATTCCTTCATTTTATTTCTTAAAACTTTACCATTAGCATTTCTGGATATTTCATCGACAAAAAACACTCCGTAATTCAGGTGCTTCCATTCATTTTCTTGATGTTGCTTTACATACTTAACAACATCATCCTCCGTTAGGTTACTACCAGGTTTCTTCACAACTGCTGCTGCCGCTAAATCATTGAACTCATCATCATAAACAGCAAAAACACACGCATCCAATACATCTGATAATTCTTGTATAGTTTCTTCGATTTCATGTGGAGAATATTGTCTGCCCTTGTATTTAAAAATATCCTTGCAACGATCAAGCAAATATAAATAGTTTTCTTCATCCATATAACCCAAGTCTCCAGTTCGTACCCAACCATCAACGTCTAAGACAGCTTCAGTCGCTTTCACATCTCCATAGTAACCACTCCATTTGCTTGACGTACGCATATAAATTTCACCAACTTGATTGTGTGCTAACTTTTCACCAGTTTGTTGATCTAGTATTTTTGTTTGTATTTCCGGCAGGATCCTAGCCACCGAATTGTTCTTATAATTTTTCATATTACCGGCTAATCCCCCGCATTCTGTTGTACCATAGCCATTTATAAGCATTCCATGAGTTAGTTGGGCACGTACACGTTCCAATGTAGATATTGGGCAGTGTCCACCTGCCATAAATATAAATCGAAGGCTTTTTAAATTTTCTTTAGTGAAATTAGGCAAAATCGATATTTCAGTTGCTTGAAATGCGCCAATCCCCACAAAGTTGACTTCATACTTAATAATAATTTCCATCAAATATTCTGGAGAATATGGTTTCGTTGTAATTATGCGTATGCCACCAGTTAATGTATTATAGAGGACACTAAAGAGTCCTGTTGTCCAGTCTGGTGTGGAGAATGAAAACATAACTGTAGTGCCGTTAGTGAAACTGTAGAAAATAAATTAGTTAAAATACATTATATTTTAAATAATTAATAATGACATCTAACCCATGGGTTTTCAACATTTGATCGTTTGATATACAAACAGCTTTTGGAAGACCAGTGGTACCAGATGAACAAAATAGTCCCATTGTCTGATCAGGTCCATACTTTAATGTAGCTGGTCTAAAAAAAGAGTTTTAATAGTTTAAGAGACTTAATAGTGGTCCGAAAAATGCATTTTACTTACTGAAAGAAGTGTTCCGTCATTGTGGGTTCTAATAAATCTTCCACTTTTGGTACGTCAGTTAAATGATTGCAGAGTGTGAATATTTTTGCATTCAATGCAGATTCACAATTTTTAACTTTTTCATAATATAAACCATCGCAAAAAATTATTTTTGGCTTTGTTATATTTAAAAGATGATGAACAATATCTTTAATTAATAAAGAAGTAAATAATATTATATATATTTTATATGTGAAAAACCTACTTTCTGCATGTAGCGGATAGATTGCCTGAAATGGTGT